TATTCTTTAATTCATAGCTAGTGCAACTAACTCGGTCCCACTAAGCTCTGGGCCCCCAGTGGAAAAGTCAGACCCTCTGCCTATCATCATTGTACTCATCTGCATCTTCCTTCTCCTGGCCACCTGTTTTATCTTTGTTACTCTTTGCAAACCAGCAGCACTGGACCAGTCCCGCTATGGAACACATGAGTGCATGCCCTACCACCCAGAGGATGCCAGCGAACCACAGCTGAGGCTCTGGAAACGGCTGGGCTCCCTGAGGCGTTCCATAAACAGCTTCCGACGGAGCCAGCCTGTCTCCCAGCATCATCGGACCTGTCCAAGAAGGCCACCAGCCGCCCAGGACTGGGACTTCATGGAGTCCACTAAAATGTGATGCTGCTGTTCCTCTACAATTCTGCTTCAGAAACCAGCGCACCTCCCAGTATCTCAAACCATTCACTACTATCAATAAGATCTCAAATCATCCAAAAACACTTGGAAGAATAGAAAGGAAGCAGCTCCTGTGCCTTTGGATTCTCATAACTGACAGCATAGGAACATGACACTTTGTAACTTCTGGATGGATCCAAACAAAGCTAATGGGGACTGTTTCTGGGGCCCTTTAACCTGGTACTAGACATCAGCAGTGACATATGACCAGCAGTACTGGCTTAGGGAAGTGTTTGACTGACGCATCACTAATTTGTAAATTTCTGCTTGGAAAGTGTCCCCTGCTGTTAACATGTCTTTGTTTATCCAAGTTTTGGTAGTCTAAAGTCTTTATTCCATCTCTTTTATAATAAAGCATGTTCATGCTAATGTTAAAATATCTGACTCTCTTCAGAAACCTTAGTCAATAAAACTCCTAGTTCAGAGAGAAGAGGAACTCCCAAAGGTTTTGCCAAGGACAGAAAGACTTCACAGTCTTCTACTTATGAAGAAGCAGAAGTTTATTTCCAGCCAGGTGTGGGACTGTGGCTAAACTGCAGAGAACCATTCCCTTAACTTGGTCTTATGTACTATAACCCAGGATAGGTGGAGGGAAACAGATCCAGTTCAAGGCACTGTATTTAGCTTGCAAGGAGGTAGGAGTCAGAAGAAATGCCTTGTAGGTATTGTTAGGTTTAGATTCTCCCTTCAGATGTTCAGCTAAACAGCTGATCCAGGAGTGGAATTTGAGCTGCCAAAAGTTTCTTTTCCACTACAGTGTTACCCCACAGCAATCCTAACCCCTTCAATGCTGAGATAGATCAGTGCCACAGAGTGGCACATCATCATCATGCTGTGCTATTAATTTGGACATTTTATGGGAAAGAGTGATGTCCTGTGAGCACTGTTTACAAAATAGGCATGTTCTTTTAAAATAAGGATGTGGAGCATCCCAAGCACTGTTGGGCTCTGAAGGGAGTCCTCTTTGTTATTCCCAAGGTGAAGGGCTCCTAGGTACTCATGAGTGAGGAGATAAATGGAAAACTAATAGTGCTCTGCAGGTCTATCTCTGGGTCACTGAGCATATGAAGCTTTGCTAAACCCACCTAAATTTAACTAATACAATATTTTTGAGTTCTTTTCGTTTTTTTTCTCTTTTAAATAAGCCAGCAGCCTTTAATTCTCGTAAGAAAAGCTGAATACCTGCTCTTATAAGAATCCCTACTGGGGTTCTGGGGAGTTTCTACCACCGGGCTCCAGGGGATCTTTTGCCTTTTAACTGTTAAGTGACCCTTTCTAGGAAATGCTGAGAAGTAGGGTTTGAGGATGGGTGGAAGGGGAGCTGAGATTGTTTTTACTTCAGATTCACAAACATGTCTAGAGGTGTTGCTTCCAGGTCTGAAATGGGGAGAGGTCCAGCAGACACCTGTAAGAAGCTGTTGTAAGCAGTTCAAATGCTGCTACTTAATTTCTTTTGGAAAATGCTGGCTAAGTCATGCAGGGCATCTTTTTACACATGCTTCAGGATGTGGAGGAGGAAGAAACAGAGCTCTGCTGCTCTAATCAAAATGCCCACAGTGTCTTGTATACTCAGTGTCCTGCACTTCAAAATGGTGGCAGGGGGTGCTTTAACTAAAGCTCATTCAATGAGCTTTAGTTAAAGCACCCCCTGCCACCATTTTGAAATGTGGGGATGCTGAATACATGTGACACCAAGGCTGCTGGAGTATTCTAAACTAGTCACAGCAGACTTGATTGAGTCTGCTGTGGCAGGGCACTTGGGATGCCTGCCACTTCAAGAGATCAGCTAGCCCGCGAAGCTGCTGGCAGGTGCGGGCCAGGGCTAATTGATCTAAGAAGCCTAGTGAGAGGCTGAGAGGGTGGGACCAGCAAGTGTCCAGGGGCCTAGTGAGAGGCTAAGCAAAAGAGAACAATGAGGATATCATCTGCAACGCATGGGGCACGGTGTAGAGGAGGAACCAAGCCGTGCAATTAGCCCATAAGGCAAGGACCGCAGTGCACCTGGTGGTCATTTGACAGTAATTTGGGAAACCCTGGGGCAGCCTCATTTATAATAATAATAAACATAATGGTGATAGAAGGGGTGATTGCCCAGAAAGTAAGGGTTGCAGGGACTCCAGGGGTTTCACAGCCATGCTTGGAGAAGTACTCTGCCACCTGTGCTAATTAGAATGCGTTGGAGCAGGCGTTGGGCAAGTGTATAGGTGATCACAACATCTAAACAAGTGACTTGGCCAAACAGCCTGAATCTCACCACATAACAAATGCTGGCCCCTCAAGTGGGTGACTGAAGGTAGGTATACTACACATACTGTAAATGGTGTATCTGAAACTGTATTCCTGTTATGCAGAAATACTTCTTGAAGATGTCTCTTGTATTTCATTTAGGGTACTTAAATGTTTATTCTTTTAGCTGGTTTGTTTTTGAATCAGGGCCTCCTTTAAAAGGCACTCACTGTCATTCTAGAACAGCTTGAAGTTTTGTACACAGAAAATGTGTTCTTTCAGCTGGCCTTTTCCTAAACAGGTGTCATGCATGCCTCTGCTTCCCAGAGAATATCTGCATAGATATTGCCAAATTATAATTCTCAGGCTGTCAAACATTTAATGATAAATCACAAATGTCTGCTGAGGAGCTGTTTCAGTGAACAGGAGGATCAGGTAAATCTGTGCATAATAAAGGTGAAAGCATGATAAAGGTCTTCTGGATGGTCCAGATGCAGTTACATGGAAAGGAACTATGTACCCACTCATTTCTGCTGAACAGGATGTAAAACCAGTGAGAGAGGTTACCTGTAAGGACTTACAACCAGTGGGATTATCAGCTCCCCTGTTAAAGAAAGGCTGCCTGAAGAAGGCAGCATAAATAAAAATGGCATATTTTAATATTTTAGGGCCAATTAAAAAAATGTCGCCCCGACAGTTCCTATTTCATTATTTAAATGAAATGCCCAGCACTGAACAGTTCACAGTATGATCAGGGAAGTGGCAGGTGCCCCCTCAAGAAAATTGGGAACTGTTAAGTCCTGAGCATTTTTAACCCTAAAAGCCTGTAACACATTAGAAAAGTCAGGGAAATTCCAAGGGGAGGGAGAAAGCAGCTACCTCAGCTCACTCAATCGAGCTAAATTGACCTTTTTCTTGTATTGCTGTCTTAACTGACATGGTTTAAATGCAGTGTAATGCATTTTACTCTCCTTTGATAAAAAGTTGGGTTATTGAAGTGGGTTTTATTGGTGAATTCTGCAAGGTTGTCACCTCCTCCCCCTTTCAGACTTTCAGGGACATTTTCTTGTAGCGTGTGTATTAGAAAGCATCTTCGTCTCTGGGGAGAGGTTCTACTATGAAGATTGGTTCTGGTTCTGAGCTGCTGTTGCATTGCTTCTTAATATGGACCACCATGCCACGCTGAAGCAACAAAAAGATTCCTGCATAAACAAGAGATATTGTCCAAGCATTTATATTTCTTCTTAAAAACACCTTTTCATGAGAAAACCTATTCAGTTTAACTCTCATCAAAAGGGCTCAATGCAGGTGCACAGACCACCATGTGCCATATTTGATTAGGAAAAATAAACCAAAACCTTCGAGACCAGCACGTGCCCTTTGAAGATGAGGCCTGATCAGCCTGTGGGTACCCAGAGCAAATCCACCAGAACTTGGAAACAAAACTTGAGTTTCAGTAGGTATCTAAATGCCATGGCTGTATCAACAAAGCAGAAAGTTCATCCTGTCACTGCTCCTCCAAAACGACAAGGGCTAATTACAAAGACAACCAGAGATAAATCTTTGGCCCCTATAAAATGAATCTGTACTGTCAGAGGAACCTTCAATGGACCCTGTGTGGGGAACAGAGGAATCTAGTGGAGCAGGAGGATACTTAGCTGTGCAGATCTGGGAGAGGCAGCTGTATAGTGCAAGCTCTTCACTTCGCAGGAGGAGGGGTGGCAAATGCTGGGGGAGTGGAGCTGGTGCACAAGATGCTTCAGCAACTTGATGCAGCAAAACAGTCTCTGGGGAATATTGCTATAACTCACCTTGGGGGCTTACTTGCCAAACATTAACTTTCTGTATTATACACCCATATAGTACAGAAAATCATGTCAATCCTGTAATTAATTGTGTTATCTGTCATTTCTGGATTTGCTGTGGATGGCCATGACTTATCAGGTAGAAAGGAAATGTATAAGAAAGGAGCTTTCATGGGTGCTGAGATTAATTTCATGATTCTCAGCCTTTGCCCAGAAATGGGAGGTTAGTTCTCTGACCTGGTGTTACACAGATGGAAGAGAAGTCTGAAAGTACACGGTCCTAGATCTAGGGTGGAGATTTACATTCTCACCTGTGAGTTCCAGATAGCCTAATGCAGACTGGTCACATGTCCCCTTCAGGAAGGGGGTCCCCACATTAACTATTTCAAAGTCATCAGAGATACTTTGCAATCCCAATTCTTTTAATTCCTATTGGACAAGCACTGAATTCACCCATTTTTTTTCTTACTTATATGCTAAATTGCTGTATGTGGACATGGCACTGAATTGGCAGCCTAAGAAGTGAGGGCATACACGATTGTGGAGATCAGGTTTAATATGAACAGAAACAGTTCCCCCACATCTTGATGATGTGGATCCTAGGGTTTGAAGAAACTCACAGCCTGCCCAGTTCTTGGATTTTCTACATATATCTTCAGTTGTATATGTGCATACACTAAAAAGGGCACACGACCTTTGGGTACACTGATATCGTTAAAAAAATTACACTCTAGCATAGCTAAAGTGGAGCACAGGCATTCTGAATAACCCAGAACTAGCAAATGAAAAGCTAAAAAATGAGAATATCAGAGGACCGTACCTATAGGACACATTTCTGTGAGGACACAAGAGCACTTCAAGTTGCTCTGAAAGGAAATGTCTTTTACAAATGCCACCCTGAACCGCAGGTGCTGGAATATAACGACTTTCAGTTATTACCAAGCTGGGTGAGGATCAAATCAACTCTCTGCAGGTGAAAGGCCCCATTCATTTTTTTCCAGTAAATTGCTTTGCTTTCTCCTTCTCCAACACAGGACAGGGACAAAGCTCTATCCCTTTTCCAGCACCAAGCCATACATTCAAGACACAAGAAGCCCTCTCAGGGTGCACTGCAAAGACTCTTGGGTGCCTGCTCCAGAAAGTGTTTTGATTTGAAGTGAAGTTGGAAACCAACAGCTCAGAGGCTCAATGAATACATGCATTCATTCAGCTGTTCATTCAGCCATTCAGCTACTGATGGCAAGTTCCAAAGGGGAGACAAAAATAAAAATGAGACTCCAACCTCTTTTCTTACTATTTTCCCCTCAGAGCCTCTTTACATACACACTTGCTCTCTTCAGAAACTCAGCTCTGTGTCCTCCCAGCCTCTTAACTCCCTAGGAGGAAAGAAAAGATGCTAAGGCCTCAGCCAAACGTCCCTGTGAAAGCAGCTCTGTTCTGGTGCCTTTGGTGCCTGCTACTGAGACCTGCCTATTTTTCTCCTTCCTCTCCACACTGTGGAAAATGTTAGTTTACCCAAGGCAGGATTGGAACTCACAAAATACAGCTCTGCTGCTGCTAGGGCCGTGGCCTCACATACCACACATGACGCCAACTGAGCCAGAAAGAGAAGAAAAGCCAAAGAAAGTGAAAAGAAAAGGCATCTGCTGGCAGTTCTCTCTCTCAAAAATGGATAGAAGCCATTTCAAGTTTTTTCCTTCATAGCATTACTGTTTGAACCCCCGTCTGTACTTGCCCAGCTTCCTTTCTACCAGATTGCCTCTCTGTTGATTTTTAGACCATCTAGAGATTGAAATGAGTGACTAACAAGTACAGAAACACGAATAATTTTGCACTGGCAAAGAGGTAATCTTGTGATTTAGAGGTGGAAAGATACCTCAGTATCTGGCTCTCTCTAGCTAACTGCAAGAAGGTAGAGAGAGGGAATGGAGGTGAGACTCCCCATCTCACACTCTACTATTGGACCCAGGAAAAATGGAGATTCAATTACCTGAACTATACTGCTGGATTCTGGGGTGTCCTCAGGTACGCTTCCCTCATAACTGCTCTGAAGGAAGATAGGCCGGTTGTCATTGACATCTAGCACAGTGACGTACACGGTGGCTGTCCCAGTCCGCCTGTTCCCTGCAGGGCCATTATCTGTAAAAAAAAAATTTAAAAATGGAGTGATTTGCCTCACCTTCTTAAACACAGGAAGTGTTTAAGACAATCCCTTCAGTATTACTATGCTACTAAATTAAGAACTGTCCACTTATGCCAAGAGGTTGGTCATCAGTGAAAGGTCTCCTAAGTGAGACTACTACTCCCTTTCTACTGGGAACCAGTGTATGACATCATAAGAAATATAAGCATAGCAATCACATGCACTGACCCATTAACTCATTGCCAATTACTGAGAAACTGGTAAAAGTTAAGAGGCCTAGAACATGACCTTCACATCCTGTATCCTGTTTCTCTTCATCATTAATGAAATTTTAAAACCCATGGGAGAACAGTGTTTACACAATACCCTGCTCTGATAAAGCATGACTGCATATAGGATCATAGGATCCTATCTATAGGATCAATGACATAGAAGTAGCAAAAAATGCAGGTTGGTTTTAAGTTTCCAAGGGTTACCAAGAGTAATGAAAAATAAGAATTTAACATGTTTTTAACAACATACCTTGACATAAGCCAAATGCTAAGGTATCAAAGTTGGAGGCTATGGGACCTGCCAACTTGGAAAACACAAGAATTTGGATAATTATTTGATGATCTGAGCTGATCCTTTATGTTTTTAGATATGCTTACCAACTTTCCCACCCACCAATCGGTAATACAAGAGACAACCTAACTGTGCAAGGGGTTCTTTGGCAATTGGAAAGATAGAATTCTCCTCTGCTTTGCTAAGTAGAAAGGGGCCAAAGTCTTTACCAGAGAGATCTTATTATCCTCATCTCTAAATACCAGGAAACCACTGGTAACTTGATTATATTATCCTGGTGCATCTATCACCTGGTTTTCACCTGCATTCCCTCAAGAACAGATTCTGTGTTCCATGGGAATTTCCTTTACCATTTAATTTCTTCTTTCATAAAATGTCCTGGAAACTAACACAGCACTGTAGCCCTGTGGTGACTGTGGCCAAAATGTTTCTGGCATTTAGTCCCTTTAATCATGCCAGCTGGCTCCACAGTGTTAATTGGCAGGGGCTGGCCTGACATTTTGAGACTGACTTTGTGGCACCATAATTCCACAGTGTAATGTTACTATTGCAACAGAATATACTGTAACTAAAGACTAAATCTCCTTCTTACCCTGAGGAGGAGGTTTTCCTTCAGGTCACAGTGGAGCAGTGTAGGAAACACCAGGACGCAACCAACACAGATAATTAACTTAGTTGGCAACCATTAAAACCAGCTGCCGCCATGTGCAGGTCAAGATATAAACCCTATTATTATATTAAAACAAATCTCACAGACTGGATTGGCATGATGCTTTGTAGACAGTTCTTTCTATCTTTGCATCTGTAAGGCAACATGACTTGTTGCAACCTAACCCAACTGCTCGAACAGCAAAAAGCAAACATGCACAAAAAGTAAAGGGGGGAAACACTTACCTATGGCCTCCAGGATCAAGGTATAGGATGCCACAGTCTCTCTGTCAAGATTCACTACTGTTCTGACCACTCCATCTCTGAAGCCAACACTGAATTTGCCATCCTGGTTTCCACCTGCAGGAGAAGAGAACAAAACAATTTTAAAGGTGGAAAGAACAAAGGAACAAACAAAGTTAAAATAAACCAACCAGTGGAAATCTATCCAATGTACTTTGTTAGAAAAACACCAACACTGATCCAAAGTGATGCTTCCTACATACAGAGAACACCACAGTGGGCAGCTGCTTTGTCTCTTAAGCAATGACGAGAAATGGCTTAGTCTCACAGAGTAACTATAGACATGATCTGACACATTCTAATTCAAACGCATCAGATAACACTCAATTAGCATACCTCACTATCACATGTATTAAGCATCTCACATTTCAAAATGGAAGCAGGGGTACTTTAATTAAAACTTGCTGAATGAACTTTAGTTAGTGCCCCTGTGGCCATTTTGAAATGTGAGATGCTTAATACATGTGACAGTGAGGCATTTTAGTTAGAGTGGCTCTGTGGGAACTGCTCTAATTAAACCCCGCCGCCCCACCCCCAAGCACATCTATAGGCACCTGTAGTCATTACATAATCAATGATGTCATCTGGTACGGCACATCAGATGAAGCAATGCAATCTCCAGGATATAGGACAAGATAGCACAGCCAAAGTCTTTCATCTTTATGAAATATCCTATGGTTCTCCCAACCCTTAGGGCTACTTGGTATGATTCAATTAGTCCAGTCCCTCACATGACCTTGCAGTGACCAGCAAGGCTTACACAACCCTTTCTGACCTAAACAACAAAACAACGTTGCCATGCTATGTTTTAGCCAGCACAACCCTGTGCTGCATGACCTGGTCTGTGACCAAACTGGGTACACCAAAACAATCTGCCCATGCTTGAAAAGAGGTTTTGTTTTCCATGGTTATGAATAAACAAACCAACAATATGCCTTCTTCTCTCCATTGCTCCAAAGATTACACAAGACCTTTACTGGATAGATAACAGCCTTTTACAAGTTATAGGAAATGCTGTGTTAAGTAAAAGACAAATGGGCAGTTTTCTCATTGCTTTCAGGGAAAAGTAGATCATTTTATGTAACAACTTTCATGGGACCTAGGGGGAAACACACAGCTATTTTCTTACTTCAGGAGACAGGCTGTGGGACAAACCCCATGTAGCCACAGTGAGAAAAGCAACTCCAAAGTAACAGTAACAGTTTCTTTGTTTTGCACCTATCTCATATTACATGCACTCACTTTGCAAGTGAGTTCCCACCACTGCCACCTATCAGCACATCCAGAAACCTCATCTGGTATCTGAAGAGCAAACTGTTTGGGGTTGCTTTGCCTTTTCTTTACTTTCTGCAGCTAGAATGTAGCTATTTATAAATGATGCACAAGGGATTTGGGACTTCTTATTTCAGATCTAGAAGTGGGGTCATGCTGGTGATGGAATGGAAACTGAGTGGCTAAATGAAGGGTGAATGCACTGGGATGTGGGCATGGTCTTACAGTCATTATTACACAACACTGTCCTACACCTATAGGGGCAAATCAGATGAAGCAATGCAACCTCCAGGTCACAGGAGAAGCAAGCACTGCCAAGCCTATGATCAGGACTCCCAACCTGGCTTGCTCTCCTGTTGTCTTATTGACTCTGCAGTGGTAACAGAAGTTAAAGCATGCTTATATCAGTAATGTGGGCAGATAGGAGCACATGGAGTGGGGGTTTTTATTTCATGTTGTTTAAGACATAAACAATGTATAGCATATTGTTTAAGGAGGTGCTACATTTATAGAGACATGCTTTCAGCCACAGATTTACTTTGAAAACACAATGCTACATCCTTTTGTCTTCTTGTTTTGCTGATACTGAAAGGAAGGATGTGACAGAAGTGTTTTGCCTCCTATCTCAGTCAAAACCATCTGAGTGAGAATCAAACTGTATAAGAAGAATGTAAAGAGAAGTAAATAATGTACTGCATTTCTCTATCAGCTACAGGTTGCAAATACTTGCAGCTAAAGCTAACAGGTATGGTATCTGGGGTACCATACCGACTTCCATACAGCAGAGGGCAATACTGCATAACTTTTGGAACGGCTGGGAAAGAAAGGGCAGTTGCACAGAGCATCACTCCAAAGCTTTTCAGCAACACAAATTGCAAACTCTCAGAACACCACAGCAACACCCACAGACAGCAGCACCACCCCAAAACCTACAGGCACCCAGACAACACTGCCCTGGGTACAGAGAAATGCACCATCATTTCTCTTACACTCTCTTACTGAGCACACCCCCGTACATTCACCCTCCCTTTAGCTTCTCAGTTTATATTCTATCATGCATACAACTGACCCCACTTCTAGGGATGGATCTGAAATTAGAAGTCACAAATGTCCTTTGTTTCATCCCTGGACATTACTGAAAATTGCATTCAGCTGCAGCTTGTATTCCTACCTCAGCCGATTGTGTCTGGGCAGTGCTAGGAATACTTGGAGTTAAAAATGAAGTATACTTGAAAGACAGAATGGAAAGGGATCTGAGCCTAACAGTTACGTCAGCAGCATTCCCAGAGCCAGGAACAGGCACATTTTCTATCATGTTTGCGTAGTGGCACATTTTCTATCATGTTTGCATAGTGGCAGACACTTCACCTGATTTTGCTAAGACCAGAAACAGTTCCTGCTTCAAATGCTAATGCCCATGTTACACAGACACACACAGCTGATGTCTCTTTCAGGTTGATGAAGCATAGATAATTCTCAGCATCAAACAGCCCAAAACAGTTTTCCTATCATTTGCAAAGCATCGTAGGAAAACATATGCAAATCCCCATGCAAATCAGTCATGCAAAGCAACAACAGGATGAAAAGCCCCTTTGGCTGTCTGATTTGCATATTTTTACCCACATTGCTTTGCATCAGAACTTTAGAACATCTCTAGGATTGATCAGTGTTCTCCACTGCACTTGAATGACTGGTATAACTAAGATATATCTGACACAAGAAGAAGCCTTAGAAAAGCTTTATACCAGTGATGAAGTAACTGAGCTCAGCATTCAGCCCCACATCAGCATCAGTGCAGTTCAGTCGGACCACCTTGAAATCACGGGGTACATCTTCAGGCAGGGAGACATTGTAGACAGCTGGGAAGAAGGTGGGGTTCTCATCATTCACATCCAGAACTGAAAGAGAGAACAGATGGCCAAGTGTGCCCTTGAGCTATGTACCCTGGCTTCTTTGCTAGACTGAAAAGGTGATTTGCTAACTCATGGGTTCTTCAGAATGGGTTCTTTGCAGATCGTTGTTTGGAACTTTGCATTGCTTATAATTCCCACTGGCTATGACCCTGGGAATGCAGGAAAATAAGCCCCACCAATTCAGTGCTCCTACCCGCACCAGAGGCTGGCTTGAAGCAAACTAGGTGGCTTGAAGCAAACCTGACTGAGCGCTCCAGGGCCACATTCAGGCTCTCTGTCAGGAGACCCTAAGAGTGGCAATGGGAAGCACTTGGATTGCTTCAGAGAGACCTAACTCTGAATACTTGTCAGATTTAGTGCATCCAGAAGCAAATGACTGGGACTTATTTTGTTTGCAGTGCACAAGGGGTAAGGAGGGAAGCCATATAGACATGGTCAGAAAAAACATCCCTGGCTTGAAAAGTTTTCTTGGACCATAAACTCTAAGAGTTCACAATCTGAGCAGATTCTAGGGAACAAAATATACAGAAGCAGACTCCCTTCCTCCTCCTGCAAGAAAATGTGGGGCTTAAGTGTAGAAAGAGTTATCTCCCGGTACATAGCAGAGAGTTCTCAGTAGCTAGAGGTAGAGGCACATTTCCTTCCAAAAACAAGGCTGAGCATTATTTCTTTTCCAATGTTTATGTTTATATGAGGTTCTAATGGCACGTGAAACACAAATTTAATCATACCAATTAAAACACAGGTTTAACAAACAAAAATGTTCGGCACTGAGATCCTAATTCTTAAGCAATGCACAAACCTATGTCGAGACAGTAGTATGACAACTCCCATTGTACCACATGACCGTGGTGCTTCCAGGACACAGTATATAGAAACATGTCCTTTCTCACCAGCCAAGTAGAGGCAAGAACTCTAATGGTTTGAGCGACTGTAACAGCACAGGGGGCCCCAGCAGTATAATCACCTCGGACAGTCAGGGTGCTGGTGGAGCTTTTGGATGGTACTCCTGCATCGCTTGCCACCACCCTGAGGTAATACTCAGATATCCTTTCCCTGTCCAACTCTACAGCGGAGGTGATGAGCCCATTGGTGCTGTTGATGACGAAGTCCATTCGGGGCATTCCCACCTGCATGCGATAGGTCACCTGCCCATTCAGACCCTCATCAAGGTCGATAGCTACCACCTAGTGAAAGGGAGAACAGAGGATGAGAAAAGGGAAAAACTTCACTTCTTGTAACAGAACCTTGAACATAGTCCCTTGATGGGGATAATGGAGCAGTAGATAAACTTCAGACATACCTAGAAAAATATGCCATTTTCCACAGACTGTGTTAAACACAAATGGTACTTAAAATATCACATCTGCCTATAGTTACAGCACAGAGAGAGTATGGTGTGATGATGTAGGCTGCTTTTGAAATATACTTTGTACTTAGAAATCTGAAGCTACACTGATGGAAACAAGGCTTTTGTCTTGGCACATCCCAAGATGGGAATACTACTCGCTGGCACTCACAGGCCATATCTGCAATGCAAGCATTACTGTGTTTCAGAGTGGTACCGTCTAAGTGAGCTCCTTGCCAAACCAGAAGCAGAACAGCCACGTTCTCATGGCACCATGGGCCTGCTAACTGGCACAGAGATGGGCTAACTCTCACTCAGCAGTGCTAAGCAGCCCCATCTAAAGTGCACATGGACGTAACTACATAGCTTCCAGTTTTAGAAGCAACCTGCCTGGAACAGTACAGGGTGCTTTGCAAACACTGCTCTGAATCATGGTAGGTTTACCATGATGGCATGGCCACAGAGTGCTTTGCAAACCTTTTGTAACTAATTATCAGAGTCTTCTGAGATGTAGGTTAATACTGTGGAAAGAGAAGCAGAGAGAAGACAAGTGACACCTCCAAAACAATGAGTCAGTGGCACAGCCACAACTAGAACCAAGGAGTTAGTCTACGAAAAATGGACCATGAGAACTGGCTTAGACATGGAATGGTGATTATGGAAAGCATGAACTTTTAATATCTCCAGAACAACAGATTAAGTGATTCTACTGACCTTTGGTTAGATCCCCAACATCCTGTCTTAGAATCATGGAAACAGGGAAAGCTGACCCTCTTAAACAGTACCATATCCTACTCTGGCTATACATGATGATAGCTGATAGTTGTCAGTATTACAGGGGAGAATGCTTAATTCATGGAAGGCCCTCAGCAAAAGCAGCAGTAATAATAACGCTAATTACATCCACAGCACTGAAGCATTGTTACACATGTTAAGCAGTTAATACAAATTTAGAGAGAAGCAATGGGAAGAATAGATTTACCTGGAAGACAGATGAGCCTGCTGGAAGGCCTTCAAGGACCTCTGCAATGAAAGGCAAGTTCTGGAAAGTGGGGTCATTATCATTGAGATCCAGCAAGTTCACAAATACCGTGGCACTACTGGTGGCCCGTAATGGCGGTCTTCCACCTGCAGAGTCCAGGAAAGACACAGCTTCATTTACAAGGAAGGTTAATGCCAATAATTCCTTCTCTCCCAAAACAAATCCCTTAGTAGGACAAGGTCCTGGTTCTTTCTGTAATGAGGGTAATGTCAGATGATTCCCCTTAGGCTGGTTGTACCAGAGATATTAATCCAACTAAAACTGGCACTTCAGAGGCCAAGTCTCCATGCTGCATACTAACGTCAGAGCCAGTAAATAGTTGGGAACAGACAACATGATAGCAATATGTGTACACACGTGTAAAGCAAGACAAGCTCTATGTTTTCGCAGGACTCCAGTCATTCTGTGTAGGTAAAAATGTGTCATTATGTAGTTTACTCTCTGCTGTGGTAATGGAAATACACAAGGGGGCAGAGGTAAGGTTGTGCATACAACCTTTTTTTGTCACTTTCCCATTTTTTAGTATTTAGCTATACAATAAGAATGCTCTTTTCATTACTATTATTATTAGAAAATAGGATTTCTTAACATACTGTTTCCAGAGGGAAAAAAAGACATTTCTATGACTTCAATGGCCCTTTTTTCCTAACTGACATAACTATTTCCCTAGATCCCATTGGAATGCCCTATCCTATGCAGTGTGACAAATCCTGCAGGAGAACCCTCCTCACTCCCTGCAGACCTTAAGAGAACAGATTCCTGTGCCTGAGTCATAGTACAAATCTAGTAAAGAGCTTACGAGTGGGACTTCTCTCCTGCATAATATAACTGTGCCTGCTCTCAGATATTCCACAGCAGAAGACCCTGCCTTTCGCCAACCTCTGACAATCCATAGAGAAGGACTTTTCTGATCTCTGTCTCTTATGAATGTGAGAATGTCTGCATACTCTGTAAGCCCTGCCTTGCCATGAATCCTAGAAAGTACGTAAGTTGCAGTAAACTCTCCTAATGATTCCCTAAAATCCACATTGTAGTACAAAACTAAGTAAACCACATATGTCTCTGTGAGCCGCATACACTACAAACCAAGTGAGAAAACCCTTGCAAAACATACTGTGCATGCACAAAGTGCCACCTGGTTGTGTCTCAGTAAAAGCAAACCTGAGTTTCCCTGCAATATACACAAGCTCTTCTCCTCTGTAAGGTGTACACTTCCAGGCCAAATTTCACCTTTCTAAATTCTTTGTCTGGGCTGTTAAATGAAGTAATAAGATTATTTCTTCAATAAAGCAAATGTTTTTGTCCTATCTTTTTTTCTCAAAAAGAGGCTGACATGTTTTTGTTCAAAATAAAAACAAACAACACCCCAAACCCAGTTCACCTCTAGACTGAAGCCAGACAGGGAACATTTTAGCAGGGTATGTGGGAACAACAGGCAAATGAAAATTGGGGGTTAGAATACAAATGCGTATGTAACCTTAACCATGGTGTCTGCTACAAGCCCTGCTGTATCAAAAAAGTAAGCAACATGATAGTTTAAAGGATTTCTATTGTTCCAGCCCAGTGATTCTCATTCAGTTTGACATCAGAAGGTGCAAAAAAGAAAGAAAAAGAGATGTGGAAAAAGCTAGATTCTATCTCTGAAGCAACAGGACAGAAAAAAATGGCTAAGGGATGGAGGAGGCAAGAGGGGAAGCGTTAAGGAAAGAAGAACTGAGGTGAAGCATACAGTCTGTGACAGACACCACAATCCTCCTCATCAGCTCAGCTTCTTGGGGATTTGGGTTCTCTCTGTCCAGCACAACACCCGTGGTCCGGATCTTCCCTGTGGTGCTGTTGATACTGTAGAATTTATTTGGTGGCCTGATGCTGTACAGGAGGGTGCCATTTTCAGCCAGGTCAGGATCAAAAGCCACCACCTGTAGAAACCAAATATAAAATGCCAGTTTGCTAAACCAGAAGAGTACATCAGTATGGCTGACTCTGACCACAGATAAGGAACTGAAACGTAAATTAAATTGATTTGGATTAGGGGAGTGCTGTTGATGGAAGATAAACATCTGTCTTGATATATATCTTAGGGCAATGGTACTCAAACTTTTGGCCCTGTGGGCTGGATGATATGTGGGGCCAGTCCCTGGAATAGATCCAGTGCACAAGGTCAGGAAGCAGGGTCAGACCCTGGATGTGGTCCAGCCTGCTGGCCTGGCTATGCATGTTGGCCTGACACCATGTGCAACTTGCTCTCACATGCTGGATCTGGCCACTTGCCAGCTTGACTCCACATGCTGACCTGACCCCCAAACCAGATCCTGCCATACACCGACATGATCCAAAGCACGGGGCCATCCAGCCCATGGAGCTCCACATTGATCTAGAAATTTGGCAGCAGCAAATTTTCAGACCTGTGGGGAAACTCACGGGCTGGATGACATGACTCTGCAAGCCAGATCTGGCTTGTGGACTGGAGGCTGAGAGCACCCATGCCTTAGAAGATTGGATGTACATTTAAATGCTATATTTGTTATTTGATAAGTCTGATTTATAATAAATAAACTTAGGGAAAAAAACCTAAAGCAAACCAAAAGGGAGGGTAAAAAGTATTCATAAGTTTTTTATTACAATTGAAGAACTTGTGTTGACTCATGGGAAACTTTTAAATGCATTCTCTTTAGGTATCATTCTCCTGCATGTTTCACATTTTCTGTTTTGTTTTTCTCCCCCTGGGATTTTTAATTACGAGGGATATTTACATAAAAATAAGATATTTATGACTTGGGACTTCAGCAGCTCCTGCTGCTTGCCCCTTACCTAAATTTGTATTATGTTGGTGACATAATAATTATTTTCCCAGCAACTAATTGTGATGTCAAATGCAAGATGACTTCAAGTGGGGAGTAAGCAGCAAGATTAGAGCATGCTGAATAAAATAAAGCTGGTATTGCATGCAAAACATCGCTACAAATTTAAAAACTGGAGGAGAAATACAGAACATCTGTATCGCACCTTTCATGCATAGATCTCAACGTATTCTACTGAGACTAATCAACATTCACAATAGCCGCGTGAAGTAGTTAAGGATTATTTGCCCACCATTTAAGTGCAGCCTCTCTCTAGGGTGGAAGGCAGTTGCTGTCTAACTGGGCACAACAACACTGTACAACACTTTAGCAGATGAAGTAAAGAATATAGCATCCAGTGGAACTGCAGGGGGAATTCAGGCAGTCAAAATTACTCACTTTGGAATAGGGCACAGAGAGAGCAGGATTAATTTACATGGGAGCTTTAATTGCCACAAGGGAGAAGGGCCATGGTCTCTCATCCCTTCTCTGCTGATGCAGGAGGAGCCAAAGAATATATGTCCAAATAAACAGGGCACTTGGAGAGCAATGCCTGCTCTCCCTATGGGGAAGGGATGTCAACAGGCCTGTGAGGTATCTCAGAGTTAATTTCTGCATGGTGGACTCAGAATGGCATCCAGTCCTGTTCCCTCTTTTCCCCAGAGATTAATGTTTCATTACAGGAGGGTTTTTTTTCAGTCTTTCCCGTTTGATGATTTTGTAGATTCTCCTCGCTTTTCCCTCATTTATTTTCTGTTTCACGCCCGTCATTTTTCTCCCAGCGTGATGGAAAATAATTCTCTCTCTCCCTCTCTTTTATTTTGCTGAAGGGATTTGAAAGGCTTTAAATCAATGCCTTTCAGAGAGGTCCTTGAAGGAGGTCGCAGGCGAGGCTAGGAAAGCAGAAACCAGCCAAAAACATGACTTTAAAGAAACACACACACACACACACACACCCCACAATCAGGGTGGAAAGCATGGATGCAATTCATATACTATGTCTCCATATGGACTTTCATGCCTTGCTAATCAAATCAGGGTCCACATGCACAGTGGAGAACATGAAGTTCAAGTCCAGGGCTGGAAAATGAACAAACCCCGGTCTCAGGCTGCAGAAAGCCTACACTGTATGCAAAGGAACTGCAAGGACTGCTGTTGTCTCAGGACCTTAAGCTCCAAACCTACAGAGGCTTATACACATGCTTAACCTTATGCACTGAAAGTACTTCTGTTAACCTCAGTGGGACTACTGTATGTACATGGAGTTCAGAATGAGTACAAGTCTTCACAGATTTCACGTCTTAGATAGCTAAACAAGTACTTAATAAAGGAAACAAGTACATGTGGAAATGTGTGTGCACTAGATCCTCAGTAGTGAAAATCTGTGATGTTGTTACCAAGATATACAATATTTAAGGATTTGGCCCTCAAAACTGAAAACTGCTGTTGATAGAAGTATCTGCCAAAAGAATAGTGCCTCCATAATTTTAAGTGGTGGAAGGTTTCTAAACAAGAACTGCCATTTCACTAGCACTTTCCAGTGTGACAGCTAATCAGTTGATCAGAGTCTCCAGCCTTGCAATAGACCATGACTGCGAGGCCCACTGTCTTCTCACTGAAGTCAAAATAGCTGGAATAAAGGAACTCCTACTTAGCAGATACATTAGCAATGTGCCTGGAAAATGTCATAGCTGCTGCAAAGTAAATGCTAATATTGATTAGAAAATAGTGTAAAACAATGGTAGAAATTTAAACCATTATTCAATTAACAAGAAAATCTTTTAATAAACAAGAGCATTTACCATAAAGCAGCCTGGAAAGCCTGCAGCCTTGTTCAGGAATTCATCTGCTAAGCAACAGTGCCTTTGTCACAAACTTACCCAACAGACATGCAAGATGGTGCGTGTCTCATGTATTATGTTTAACAACCAATTAATGTTATTGGTGATTTACGTATACTTGTAACTAGATGATATGATTATTTTGTTTTATAAACTGAATTGCAGTTTTCCTTTTAACAAAGTCTTGTTAACTCAATGACTCTAGGCACCAAGATTTCCTGCTTATATCCTGTTTTCTGGGTATGTCGGCACCACTGGATTAAAGGCATAGACTTCTTAGAACAACTGATCTCTGCACTATGCAAAACCCATGAAAGCCAAGAAAATGAATTTGGCAGTGTGTGCAAGTCTTTGCTTGGGAGGCAGCCAGAGCTGAAAGTGTGGAGGGGATGGGGTGCTGTAGGTCAGGTGGATGTATTTACAGATATGCTGAGGGACTAAGGACTGGTATTAGCAGAAGGTTTTGCAGGTCAAGGTTGAGTTACACTGGTAGTGTTGCTAGGCAGAAGCATTTATTGGATATGTTTGCATTTTGGCATCACCTCCTCATTTTATACAAGCTAAAAGTCAGTCTGGAGAGTAAAAAGATCGAACTGGCTTCTTAGTGGTCCAGAGTTAACAGGCTGCATTTCTGTGATTGTAATTGCTGTGCATACCGTTGTGACATCCGAGTCCGGAGGGGTCATCTCCACCAGGTTAATGTAGTATGGCGCATCCCTCCACACAGGATAGTTATCATTAATGTCCAGCAACGTGATGTTCACCTGCAAAATCACAAGAGTGAACAGGAGATTTCATACCCAGTAACAAGTACAGCACTAGCATATCTGTAAACCTGGAAGAGTGCTTCTGGCTATTAATGTCAGAAAGACTCTGATTCACAATGTCCAATGCTAGTCCCTTCATCTTTTTCCCTGAAGCCAGTGCCAACAATGGAATCCTTCTTAGACAGATGGCTGCCCTAGGAGGTGGCTCAGCAATGCTTTCTTTGGAAATCCATTTAATTTTTTATGCTAAATGAGAAGGTGATTCTCACCATGAAAGCTCTTGGTAGCACTGTGACGAGCATCACGGGAGTAGATCTCCTTTCTATAAATACCTTGCCTAGAGCCAGGTGACTAAATCATAGCACATAAGCAAATTTGAGCAATTTTGCCTTTTCTCCAGTTTTTTTCATTTCATGCTGATTATTTTAACTCCAAATCTTGGCACTGTGAAGAGCACTCAATGTCTGACATCTATGCTCTGCTGTTTCCTCTTGAACAGACAGATATACTGCATGGTACAGCTTCTGTTTCTTCACTGGACAAGCATAACACTTGCATGTCCTGGTTTATAGTGGGAATATTCATTATGAACTCAAAATGGATTATTATTCTTAACCTACCTAGGAAGCTCCCAATATGCCCTAGCCACATCCTATCACTTCAACCCAAAAATGAGGCAGTGCACCTGATTTAAGGGTGGTGCCTTCTGCTGCTGCCAGTATGCTTGAGAGTGGCAAAGGGGGATGCCCTCAGTGAGGCTTCACTACCTCACTTCTAGGTTTGGAGCATGTAGAACTGAAGAGGGTTTGTGGGGCCATGCTTGTGTGTGGTACTCCAGGAGCTCTGAGGAAGCAACACAAACACACCCTTTGTCCAACTAGGAAAAAGTTTCAGGCTCCCCCTTCTACCCACCCACAAGAGGAAGGTCCCTATGATTACCTGGCTGGGAACTCACACCCTACCATATTCATGGAAAAAGGCCCTAAGGGACACAGGCAAAAAAAATTGATTAAAAACTCAAAACAACTATTTTTACACAACCATTTTTACACTTTCTCCAGCTTGGGAGTCCATATACTTACTGCTGTGGGACATGGAACCAAACAAATCCTGCTCCTCTTGCATTGATGGTTCTGTTCCAGTCCCTAGTATTACTTAAACCAGTAAGGTAAGCATATGGAAGTCCTAAACTGGAGCAGCATTAGGTCATTGCAAACAGTTTAACTGCATGGGTCCCGAGGCTGGCCAAAGGCCCCATTGCAATACTGTTAAGAGCCAAAGTTTAACCTCTGCACAGAGTCCCCCAAAAGATAAACCGTGCCACTGCCTTTGAGGGAGATCAAAAGGAGATTGCTGATTTCCTATGGGAAGTAGTGGAATATACAGTATTCAGGATTGGCGGGAGCTCTAACTAGGAATCCAATGATTACTGCGAATGCCCTATTAAATCACTGCATGAAAGTAAGCTAGCCCATTTAAAACAAGTTTTGGCAAAACAAGGAGCATTGAACATTCCTATAATTCCTATCAGAAGGCTTGTCTGCATTAGACAAAGCAGCTGCATTTTTAACCTCAGGATAACTAACGTGCATCTGCTATCCTGAGGTTAGACACAGTGAAGACAATGACTTAAGTTTTACCGCAAGGTAAATTCTGTGAGGTCACTAGGTAACAGTATAAAGCTAATCTCACAGAGTAAAATCACAGTGCCTGGTCTTCATGGCCTTTTTACCTCAGGCAAGCTCACATGTTAATCACCCTGAGGAATAAAAAAAAAATAAAGAAGATGGCTGCATTATCAACAATGACAAGCCTAGAAACACTGTAAGATGGAGTTCAAGCAGACTCCTTGATTTATTACTGTTCTTGGTAAATTATTTACAGGGTTCGATATTCCTGTGTGTTTAGTACCCCTAGGAAAACTGCTTTTTGTCCAGGGTACTAAATATATTTCTGAAAAGTTATCTGGCCAGCAGCGAACCTAAATCTATCATTACAGCAGGATGCATGGAAGGGGCTGCCCAGAGAAAGAATGTTACAAAATGGAGAGAAAAGCAAAGAGCAAGACTATTAAGGGAAAGCAGCAAGAAGAGAATGAAAGATGGGTTGGGAAGGGGTAAGAAAATGATGAATAGTGAAGGCAGTGTTGGGAACAAAAGGAAAGCAGAAATGGGTACAGAATACACAGCAAGAAGGGGGTGGTATGGTGAGTGTTAACCATGTTTTCCAACATGGGGAAACAGCTGAAGATTGGAGGTAGATGCACAGAAACCAGATGGCTTACGGGATTGGTAGTCAGATACAGAGTTTTTCAACAAGATTACCGCCCAAATAATCAAGACAAATTAGTGCTTTTCTTGGACTTCTCTGGAAAAGTCTCACAGCTCTGCTGCCTTGTCAGAAAAGAGAAGTGGTGGCAGAATGCTGCTCCTTGAGAAGACGTGAATCAAACTACAGTTTGGTATTAGGAGGCTAAGTTGGTTAACAGCACAGGCACACTCAGAATGCACTGCTAGGTAACTACCTGCACTCAATTCATGGCGCACCTTTTCTTTTTAAATTCAGTTTCCCTGGAAGTTCCCAGTAAGCTTCTATCATGTTCCAAAGCCCACTCATACCCATCAGAAAATGGGCACACTGATTGTAAAACAGCTGCTCACTACAGTAGCTTTACATTTTTTGCCCATTGTTCCAAGTTTTTTCTTTGAACATGTGTGTGCCTGTGCATGAGAGAGGACCAGCAAAAATGCAGAACAAAATGAAGAAACCCCATTGTGTTTGGCCCAAAAATCTAGGAATGGGCAGCAGCTCTCCAACCATAGGGAGTGCTAGTATCATGCCAGAGCTCTACAAGAAGCCAGGAGTGGGCAGGGTTTTACTATTAGCAGGCTATTAGTAAGTATTCCCTCTCACCCTCCTTCCCAAGAGCAGTATTCCTATCTTCTTAGTTCAAAGAGATACAGAAGGTCAAATCTCAGTCTAGCAAATACACATAGGTGGAGCACTGGTGCCATCCAGTGGTAGGTCAGGTGAATCTCAAATCAATGGTCACAAGAGATATCTTAGGCAATGATCTCTATTTTAGGCACCAGAGTGACTTATTAGATGAGGCTGAGGTATCCTAGGGGATGTAACAGGATGGCCCACTCAGGCCATGGTGAATCTCAAGTGCTGTTTTTCCATGGCTGCTTCACAACAGCAAAGAAGTCAGAAAAGGAAAGGTTATCTACCAGATTAGCTAGCCCAGTAGCTGGAGCCTGCTACAGGATCACTGTCCCTACTGCATAGTTTTTTCTCTTTCCAGTCTCATTGTAATGTCCCAAGCTTGTTCCCATGCAGGTATTGTTCCACAAATGGCGATCTTTCTCGCTCACACGGTTTTTATTTAGAACACTGGGGTGGCATTTTTGTTTATCCCGGTGTGCTCACTGATTGAGGGCAGGTTCTTGGGCACGTAAGGATGGTGCAACCATGGGTGATTAGAACAGGGGAGGGAGGGATTTCTTCCTGGCTTGTGAAAATTTTCAATGTTTTAAAAAATATTCACAATTCACACCCAGACAGACTCCCCTCTACCTCCCAAAAAACACAGCACAACAGCAATAATCCCTTTGTGCCTAGGAAGACCCATCTCAGAACAGCCATGTGATTGGTGAACTCAGCTTGGGTATGGCAGACAGATTCAAGTCTTTACTTTGCCACTTCTTAGGTGAGTGCCTTTTATGGCTATTTTGGAGTCCGTTAGGGCAGGGAGGAAGGGAGCTCCCATTCTCTTTCCTGATGGAGCTGTTCCTTTTTTAAAAAAACCCAATTAAATCTTCATTGAAATGCATTCAAATTTGAATTTTGTACATTCCAGGTGAATTCCCCAGCAACTAGGTTATAAAACCATCCTCTCTCTAATCCAATTTGTATTTAATTACTTTTACAAAATGAACCAACTTCAAAGACAGAGACAGGAGGACACCCACCACAGGAAGCCAAGAGTCTTTGGGCACAGCTTTGGTTTGGTGACAGGTCTCAATCTGGCTGAATAAAGACTTGAATCTGGGTCTCCCCAACTCCCAAGCATGTGCCCTTGACCAACATGTTACTGGCTGTTCCAAGGTGGATATCTATTTCTCTCTTTCAGTTTTAACCATAAATTCATCCTGGACCCACCATAAGTTTAGCCCGCAACAAATATGTCCCTAAAAATACCTTTGATAAAGAGGTATTTTCCAATAACAAATCACTGAAAATTTCCTGATCAGGTCAACTGGTGATATGAAACCCAATCTGTGTGTTTTCTAGGGCTATCAACGGCAATGCTTTCTGTTTAACAGGTACTAGTGTGGTGGTTAGATAGATCTTGGATGCTCCAGATAGACATTCACCATTAAGATTCCCAGAGCACTGAACTCTGGGCCTTTACATTCTAGGCACAAGAGGGTGCGGAGCCTGGTGAACCCCAGGTATGTTTCTGTTAAATGCATTGACCAAATTTATAAGCAGACACCAACTTCCCACCGAGTTTTCAGGCTCTCTAATTATAAAAACTTTTAGGAACTATGTTAATGTAACTTTTTTCTAATTAAAATCTCCATTCCAGAAAATGTTCTTTACCTTTTAATGAATCTATTAGAAAAGCAGTCCCCTCCCATGGAGCCCAAAAGAGAACTCAGCAGCAGACACACCATAAGAATATAAGGATTGTCATTTACTGGGTCAGAACATAGGCCCATCTTGACCACTATCCTGTGTCACACAGCAGCAGAGTGTGGATGCTGAGATGGAGAGTGAACTGGGTATGAGTAGGGTTTTTTTCCCCACTGTTCCTCTCTCACTTGCAGCCTCCAGCATTTAAGGTCCAAAAAGTTCTAATTCAGAGTATGTATCCCTACCTCCCTTGCTGAATAACTACTGATGCCCCTTTCTTCCAAGAATTTGTCCAATCCCTTTTTTAATCTAGCTAACAGTTCACTTCCGTAACATCTGGTGGCAATGAGTTCCACACTTTAATTATATGCTGTGTGAAAAAGAACTTCCTTCCGTTAGTTTTAAACTTACTACCTACCAGTTTCATTTTGTGAGCCCTGGTTTTTGTATTGTGAGACACAGTAAATAATAAACCCCTATTTACTCTCTCTTAACCATTTAGTATTTTGTAAACCCTTATCATGTAATTCCCCCCTTCCTCTCTCTCCCAAGAATCTCTTTTCTAAACTGAATATGCCTAGCCTCTTTAATGTCTCCTCAAATAGAATCTCCTCCATACCATTAATCACCCTTGTTGCCCTTCTCTGGACCTTCTCTAGTTCTTCCATTTCATTTTTGAAGTGTGGGGACTAGAACTGGGCAGAGTATTTAAAGTGTGGATGCACCATAGATTTATAAAGGGGCATGATGATACTCTCCATCATAGGCAGAAGGAGAAAAAATGATTTTGGGGGGCTGAGTATGCGCGTGCATGCATGCAAGTGCTGCCCCCCCACCCTTAATCAGGTAAGTCTGTGGCGGAAGGGACAGCCCCTGCCCTACTCCCTCCTTCACTGAGGGGACTTTGATCTGCCCCCCCACCCCACCCAGCCCAGCCCCGCCC